TATGGAAAGTGGTATCAGGTGTTAGAAGAGTAAGCATACCCTGCCTGTTACAATCCCTGATATGAGGAAGTATATCAATCATTAGTGAGTAAGTATTTCATAATGAAAAGTGGTATCAGGTGTCCAGAAGAGTAAGCATACCCTGCCTGTTACAATCCCTCATAAGAGAAAGTATATCAATTATAAGTGAGTAAATATTTCATAATGGAAAGTGGTATCAGGTGTCTACAAGAGTAAGCATATCCTGTATTTATATGCAGCAAAGCCTTTCGATTTCAAAAGACCAGCTGGTAAACAGGATTCTCATTATTCCAGTCGACCCAGTTGTAAATGGGTACAGATAATTTAGGAAAGATCAATACCAAGAGGTTTGGTCAAGGACCAGCTGGTAGACAAGATCCTCATTATTCCAGTCAACCCAGCTGTAAATGGGTACAGATAATCCAGGAAAGATCAATACCAAGAGGTTTGGTCAAGGACCAGCTGCTAGACAGGATCATCATTATTCCAGTTGTTCCAAAGAGATCTGGAAACGTATTCTCGAAACAATCTTAGAGCTTGGCTATCCTACAAACAGTGTAAGAAGTTAAGATCCTAGGATGTCCTAGCTGCAAGATAAAAATAAACAATACTCACTGGCCAGATCCAATCGCCAAACTTTCCTGATTTCCTTTTAAAAAGAAATTATTATCACCAGACCAATGAAAAATCTGAAGAAAAAATATAAACAGGAGTACATAAACAAACCAAGTACTAACGATCCAAACAGCAAAACGAAACCCAAAATCCGAACAACATTTGGCAAAACATTGATAGCAGCTAATATACTTTTCACCTGAGGAAGTATATCAATCATAAGTGAGTAAGTATTTGATAATGAAAAGTGGTATCAGGTGTCTAGAAGAGTAAGCATACCCTGCCTGTCACAACTCCTCATATGAGGAAGTATATCAATCATAAGTATTTGATAATGAAAAGTGGTATCAGGTGTCTAGAAGAGTAAGCATACCCTGCCTGTCACAACCCTTCATATGAGGAAGTACATCAGTCATAAGTGAGTAAGTATTTCATAATGAAAAGTGGTATCAGGTGTCTAGAAGAGTAAACATGGACAAAGACAATATTTTCATCAAGATCTGGTTGAAAAATAAAAACCGGGTACTTACTTTGAAATCCGGGTAGAAAGTGTAGAGAAAAGATTCCCCGGTTCCATAAAAATGGTCACTCATTTTCAACGGACAATTGGTCACTGCACCAAACACCTGTTAAAACATAACAAAAATAAAGACTGGCAAAGTCATGCAGTGTACAATGAGGGAAATTTTTCCAGAACAGCGGCATTGGCCTTTTCTTTTTGATTTCCAACTGTCAAGGGATCTTTAACGTGCACAGCCTGTAGCACACGGGGCCTCGGTTTATTGTCCCATCCAATGACTAAACACTTTCTCCATGTCAGCCCCTCTTACCTGCATCACTGACAGGGGAATCCGGGTTGAAAAATCTGAAGGTATTATCTCGACCTATGCCAAACTAAGTGTTTGATGACGTCACTCATTGCAAAAGGCCATACTTTGCGATTAATGACATCATCAAATGCTTACTTTAATTGGTATTGCAGGAACCACAGACGTCTGATTGAAAATTAGAATGGTGTAAATTGGTGCTATCAGTGTCCCTGATACACATAAAAAATTTAGAAAACCTTTTCACAATCTCTTTAAATGTTACTTACGTGGCCATTGGTATCTTCGACCACAATGAGTACTGGACTGTCCAGTCCCTGCATGTTTCTGTACAGTGTTTTTAAACTGAATCCATGGTTCTCAGAACTGTAAACCAAGGTCCAAGGATAGCCTATGGTTCGCGGTGGAAGAGCATTGGAGAGCTGAAAATAAAATTTTATGCATTGACATAACCTTATCTCTGTTAGCATTATGGGCCTCGTTCTGGATTCAATATGGCTGACACGTGAATAAGGTCTATTGCAGTGACACAACGTTACATTTATTTGTTTGCATTATGAGCCTCGTTCTGGATTCAATATGGCTGACACGTGAATAAGGTCTATTGCAGTGACACTATGTTATCTCTGTTAGCATTATGAGCCTCGTTCTGGATTCAATATGGCTGACA